TTTGTTTTAGGTGTTGTGGCCTTAAACCGGTGAAACCTCCTGTTGAGCCCTGTAGAAATGACATAGCAGCTTTATACACATCATCCCTCCCCAACCGAATAAGGGTGACCCTAAAAAATAACGAAACACTTTCACTATCATTCACACTTAATCACTGTCTTAGCAGAGGTGCCCAGATATGAGAGTTTAGATGTCACTCCAAACAGTCAGTATCCCAGACCCCTCCTATTAAAGTGCAGGCATTGTACTTCCTACCTCCAGGACTCAAGTCCGGTTAACCGGTTTCCCTGAATCACTTCACAAAATATTTACTGCCTAAAATTTTTCTTTTGATGTTACTATTATTAGCCCTGCTTTACACTGATGTACCAAAAAGACAGATAAAAAAACAGTTTAGTAGCCTCTACATATTAATCAGAGGACTTTAGAAAGTGAAGTCTCGGCTTACTCGAGAGAGACATTATCATAGATTATCATGCCTTCATCTCAAAGTTGTCCTTCGTTGGCCAGTACTAATGGATGCTCGATACCGTGTAGGGGAGCAGTTAACCTGACCAAGTTTTCACCCGGCATTTTCTGAACAACTTCTGTCACCAAATACCTTTCCAGGTTCCTCTAGATACATCAAATCATCTTGGTCTCCTCAATCTATTTTAGTATGCTAGAAATGGCTGACACTGGGTTTTTAAACCATCACATCAGTACCGACAGAAAAAATGCAATACTGAAATATGAACATAAGATTCATATGAAAATCTACAAGATTATCATCCCTATAAAATAATTTATGGTTCCCTGGACGTTACACAACATATTTAAATTTGAAACGATTTGGTAGTAAATGTCTTTAATAATTTATCAGATTCTTCCTCATCAGACTGATCATATTCTATTTTTTCCCCTAAGATTTTTATTAACAAAATACGGACCTAGATATGTACTACTCTGTCCTGTTGATAAAGCCCCTCTTATAACTTACAGGTTCAACCTTGAAAAAAGTAGATTTAAGTGCATCTAATATATCTCGGGTACTACCTACCTGGAGTCTACCTCTAGGGTATTCTGGTGATCAACGCTCCCGCGGCTCGGTCCACGACCAGGACTCCTAGTGGATCAGGGCCTGATCAACCAGGCTGTTACTGCTGGTCGAACGTAGTCCAATGTACGAATCACAGCCCGGCTGATCCGGCACCGACTTTAAGTATCTGTCCGGCTCCCTCTTGAAGGCAGCCAGGGGTCTATTGGTAATTTCCCTTATGCATGGTGGGAGTCTGTTGAACAGCCTTGGGCCCCGGGCACTTATTGTGTTTTCTCTTAGTGTATCAATGGCGCCCCTACTTTTCATTGGGGGTATTTTGCACCGCCTGCTAAATCTTTTACTTTTGTAGGGAGTGATTTCAGTGTGCAGATTCGGGACCATTCCTTCTAGGATTTTTGAAGTGTAGATTGTGGTATATCTCTCTCACCTGCGTTCCAGCGAGTACAAATCAAGTGCTTCCAAGCGTTCCCAGTAGTTAAGGTGTGTGACTGTTGGTGACTGAAAGATAGCTTGAGACAGGTGATTTCGGTATGATCGAGCAATGGGTGTATGGCTGTTTAACAGAACAGGGGTCCTCCAGTGACGAAAGACCAACTAATGTCTCTACATACTGGCCCCATGCGTGACTGATTCTGGCCAAAACTCCCCTAAGAATGGCTACAACTGTCTACCTAGTTCGTTGCCATTCTAGTTCTCTTGACAGAGTCAAGAGAACTAGAAGTAAGCATAGGATACTCAAATGATTCGTAGCCAAGCTACGAGTCATTAGAGTATCCTATGCAAACTTGCATTCAGTGATAATATATTAATTAAATCCTGCATATAATATTGAGGAGCAAAATGAAGGTGAGCATTCACGAGAACCTTAATTAATAAAAGAATCTCTACGAAAGAAGTGCTGGTAAATTTTCTCCTCTACCTTCCCCTTTAACCAGTGTGTGACCACTAACAAATTATTCACCTCTGTTACATAACCTGTCATGTTAATAAAAGATGTCTCCGCTAAGATCTGTAAGGTTATAAGCAATATAAACATCAACCTTTGGTATTGCATGCTTCTCAACTGGTTCACTACCAGTATATCCCATCACGGAAGTCACAGCCATTTCAAATTACGATTTATATTTGTAACCTCGGGCTGAACTCTCTATGCTCTCCATTTTATTTCTTACTTTTTCATTTATATGTATGAGGCATTATTAAAAAAATATGTCATTGAATGGGTTTAGAGCCACAAATGAAACAAATATAATTAGGTAGGTTATCACTTGAGAATATTCATAAATTATAAGATCTAAATAATACCAGTAATTTTAAATCATGCAGAATATATAAATTATACAATATAAATAGCCCAAAAATAAATATCGTTAAACAATGTACATGGTAGCATCTCCTGAGTGCCAGGAATGGCTCAAATGGAGTTGAAAGTCACTGTGCCCTTGTCATAGCGCTGCCCCCGCCATAGTACTGTAAGCGGTACTCCACTTAACACGAATGTTCATCGTGCCCCCGCTTTAGGGCTGTAAGTGGCTCATCACGTGAACACACTCCGACACTCCTTCGGGAGCCACTGTCAAATCACCACATGGAGAAGACCCTGGCCAGGACCTGTCCTGGCAAACCTTCATGAACATGAACTTACCACGGTAGATCTGTTTGTCGGCGAAACGTAGTCAATAAAGGATGGTATTATACTGCATTTGTGTTTACTTTTACATCGTGTCGGTATTTTATATCTTCTATCTGCTTACAACACAAGGAGTGTAAATTAGAGGTCGCGATACAAGTTTAGTGGACTGTACGGTGGAGATAAGCAAACAAAAGAAGCTACAAAGTGTGAGGGTAGAGGCTAGCATACACCACAAGACTATCATTCAATGGTAACCACATGGTGTGTTAGCTAGAGGCTAGCATACAACATTCTATGCATTGTCTATAAGTTAGACTAGCACCCAGGACGACATACAAAGTGAAAAGGCTAAATGGTAACATACAACTTAAGATGCATAGTGTGTAGGGAAGAACTTATCACACAACACCGACACATAGCGTGCAGGCTAAAGACTAGCATACAACACAGTGTGTTAATGCTAGAGGCTATCAAAGTGGGTAGCCTAGATTCTAACATACAATACACAAATAACCCGCACTTAAGAGACAAACTTATAGCGAGGTTTCAGTTCAACTTGGACTACCAAGTGGTCACTAGTGTCTAGTGATGGTCTAAAATGAACCGAAACGTCGTCATAAATTTCAGTATCGTAGTCATCTTGAAAGACATAAATTGATTAATGAATATCAACACGGTTCTACAAAAGGGCGTTCCTGTCTTAGGAATTTACTAACTTTCTTCACTAAGGTATTTGAGGAGGTAGATGATGGTAATGAATATGTTATTGTGTATATAGACTTCAGTAAGGCTTTCGATAGAGTTCCACATCAGTGGCTACTGAGGAAACTTAAGGCACTTGGAATAGGAGGAGAAATTTTTTCCTGGGTAGAGACATGGTTGAGAAATAGGCAGCAGAGAGTTTGCATAAAGGGGAAAAATCGGGGTCAGGGCTGGGCCCCTTGTTCACAATTTACATAAACGACAGAGATGAGGGAATAAAAAGCGACATAAGCAAATTTGCTGATGACACCAAAATAGGCTGTCCAATTAATTTTAATGAGAACATTAGAGCACTCCAGTATGACTTGAATAGACTGATGCAGTGGTCGGAGAAGTAGCAGATGCAGTTTAATATAGACAAATGCAAAGTTCTAAAGGTTGGACAGGGAAATAACAACGCCACATATAAACTAAATATTATGGATTGGGAAAAGGATTTAGGAGTTCTGGTTAGCAGTAATCTGAAACAAGACAACAGTGCATAAGTGTTCGCAATCAAGCTAACAGAATCTTTGGCTTCATATCAAGAAGAATAAATAATAGAAGTCCTCAGGTTGTTCTTCAACTCTATACATCTTTGGTTAGGCCTCATTTTAATTATGGTGCACAGTTTTGGTCACAGTATTACAGAATGGATATAAATGCACTGAGAAACGTACAAAGGATAATGACAAAGTTGATCCCATGTATCAGAAATCTTCCCTATGAGGATAGACTGGGCCCTGAATCTGCACTCTCTAGAACGGCATAGAATTAGGGAGGATATGATTGAGGTGCATAAATGGAAAACAGGAATTAATAAAGGGGATGAAAATAGTGTGCTAAAAATATCTAGCATAGACAGGACTCACAGCAATGGTTTTAAATTGGA